ACAAGACAATATTATCGAATAAAAGTTAATAAAAAAAATTAATGGAAAAAAGCTGAAAAGTCAATAATATTAAATATAATTATCAGAAAGATATTAAGAATTTTTAGTAAATACTGACTGATGTCATTAATGCGGTAAGTCCACAAGTCGAAGTCGAGTTTAAATTAAATCTTACTTATAGAGCTAATCTCACGCGTCGCATCACGTATATTAATAAATTTATCTTCTTTCACAAATAATTTAAAATTTCATATAATTGTTAGTAAAACGCGTACTCATCATGTACAGATAAATTGAGTTTAACGTAAAATTCTTTTATCATTTTGCAAACAATTACGTGAAAGTTTGAAATATTAGTAAAAGAAGATTAGTTTATTAATGTACGTGATGCGATGAGGTGAGCTCTATAAATAAGATTTAATCTAAAATATTTTTGACTTGTTGACTTGTGGATCACTTAAACAATATCAATCAGTATTTGCTAAACATTTTTAATAATTGTGTTTAATATTATTGACTTTCAACTCTTTTTCCATTTGTTTTTTCAATTAATTTTGATACTATTATCTTGTTACTATATTATGTTGCAAAACATTTGTACGATAACAATGTAGATACGTAACGGTGTAAATACTATACAATGGGATGCATATATATACAAGGTGTCAGATTTTTAGTTATTAATGAAAAAAAATTATTACGCGCTGCCTCTTGAGGCATGCGGGATGAGAGAGAAGTTTCTTCTCTTATCTTTGTCTGATTCATAGTATAGTTGAGAGTGGGGAGAATGTGATATAATCCAAGTTAAAAGTTAGAGATAATATGAAAAGCAATGACCACTGAATGGCAGTGACTTAAGCTTATGAACGAAAGTTTTAGGATATAAAAAATATGTATAGATCTATTTTTTCTTATTTATTAGTATTCACTTATCGATTTATTAAGAAAAACAAAGCAAAGATGGTTCCTAATTCAGAGATTCAGGTCATGTTTAGAAATCAGCCGACTTAGCTTTTGGTTCAACTGTACTAGACAGAACGCTGTTCGAGACCTACAAGCATACTCTCTCTCATCCCGCAACACTCAAGAGGCGCATTCCAGGTAGTATATATTTCAGTGATTTGACCTAATGTATAAGACGGCAGATGTCGCCACTACAACTTATTTATTAGAAACTCTTATGTATATATGATTCTATATATATATATATATATATATATGTGTGTGTGTGTGTGTGTGTGTATACAATTTTTACTGAGGTTAATTTTTATCGGGTTTAGATCAAAATACAACATACAAAAATAGACTGTTTATCAAAAATATTAAATCGTGAAAAATATAAACAAATGAAAAATATGTAATAAAATAGTATCTAACATGTCCGAATGCGTATATTTATGATACTGTATATGCATTATAAAAAGTGCTACTAACGTTCGAAGATAATAGATTACGTGGAAAATAGATGACTATCAAGTTGCTTTTCATTGAATGCAGGACGCAAGACGTTAATAATGCAAGTATAAATCGTAAAATGAGAACTAAAATAAGCAAATAAAAAGAATCGTAGATTAAAAACTATTTAACAGTATAGTTTTGGTTCCGATGCTACAGTCTTTATAAGATTCCGTAATCCAGTTTATGGTTTCGATCCGACTGAAGAAAACCGAGTGCTATCAGCTTTTTTAATTAATATTTTTTACGAATGAAAAAATAATCATAAATAAATAAGAAATAATAAATAATTAGCTCCGAGAAGTGTTAGATCTTTAATCTCGTGAAGATTTGTGCAAGCAAAAATTATGGATTTGTTGGATTGCCAATTGATTTCATCACGTGTCACTTGCGCTACGGGTGTTAGTATCAGCTGGGTACACGGCGATATATCAAAACAATGCGTATAAACTGCCACATAAACTGAGTTAATAATCATTTGAACAGACGAGATGAAAGTTTATTCACCGCCGTAAACCCTTGTAGAAGATTTCCGATAAATGTCTCTAAGTGGCATTATTCTCACGCGGAACTTTCTGTTTCATTGTCGATTGGGAATTCTATCGAGAGTCAAGTAAGACGGAAGTATAAAATTTACACTATCGCTATATGGCTTGAATTGAAATATTGATCATTTGTGGGCTCGGCTTAGATAGGAATCTCGAGGAAAATCAAACTCTAGATAAAGTGGATCTTTAGAGTGCACAAGTCCGCGTTTATTAACACGATGACTGGGGAAATTATTTAGGTGCCCAAGTAAATTTGTATGTTTATTCGAGAGCTGGAGAATGTTCACGTGCGCGATCACGTATAGCAAAAATAAAAAGAGAACAAACACATAAATCACTCGTTGCATAATAACTTGCCTGCGTGGATTCCAGCAGTCACGCCACTTGATGCGATTATAGAAATTGTGACTAGTAAATTGTACACTATAACGCGTACATATAACGCGCGTTAATATAAATAGTCTTATTTATTTTATTAGTAATTATATTACATATTAAGGTTAATTATTTTTATTTCGAATTACGGCAATTGGACAGTCATACCATTCGTTTTACATTCGTTTACTCGCATGACACGCGGAACTTGACAGTTCTATTCGTTTTGTTCCATTACCTAGTTTTCGCGATTCATGATCTTTTTTTTTTTCCTTAGCCAAGAGCTAACGTAACCGGTGTTGCAATTTACATTGAACCTTGATATACGAAGCATATGTAATCAAAGAATAAGAAAAAAAAGCACTCGGAAGTTGTTGTGGAACATGTTGACATTAATAATAGCAAATACAATTGTCTGAAATACAATTCTTTTGTATAATTATTAAATAATAATTTGTTATGACGTTTCGCGTCATCTTAATGTTTTCTCGGTCAATGTTTCACTCGCGTAATCATAGGATAATATCCTTTGTAGACTGTGTCGAAGCATATACGTGTCGAAAAACAAACATTCGACATGGATATAACTACTACATTTATATGGAATTATACTCTGTATTCTGTATGGACATAAAAAAAAGGAAGAGAAAAACTCTTCCTTTACTGTGTGCTTTGTATGTTGAAATTGCATATGCAAAATAGTAAATTAATAGAGTTTCATTAGCCATGCAGCATGCGTAAACTAATTTCTTCCGGGTGTCTATGAGCTAGATAGATACATAGTAAAAAAGCAGACCTGCTCTAATGACAAGTCTTGCCAACATTTCGCGAGACACTCGTTTTTTCTGGCAATACATAAAAATGTTCAACAGCTTTAATTTCTATTACAAGTCACTAGTCGTGATTATGGCATTTTCCTTTTGAGGCACTGGTCGGACGTGAATAGACGATGGAGTGAACTGCAACACTTCACGTTTATTAGATGAGAACAGCCCGCGATAAGGTTCCGCATAAAGAACATACATCACAAACCTGCACCCAGTCTTTAGGTTCTATCGCTAATTATTTTCCTGCATCCTGCTGATAAGTACACACATTATTGCGAAAGCGCACGTTTTTCATACTTTGTGCAAAAGAAGTCGGTTATCAGTACGGTTAGGCATGACGCAGTCACGACAGGAGTGCACGAAGAGTGCTTTCTGAATGTTCCAAGATAATGAGTAGTAAGTTTCGACAGTGTAAAATTGCACGTGTATCATCTACGTATTCCTTCTTTGATATTATGTTTGTCGTGCTCGTGCACCGAAAATTATTATCCTGGCGATATTTCTCAAATTTATTCTTTAAAGTACAATTACTGTATTTGTCGTTGAAACGCTAAACTTATAACTGGTGATTTAGTTATAAATAAAGAACTGCAATTACATTAAAATCTCGCTGAATCAGTTAATAATAGTGACTATTAATAATAGTGACAATTGTTGATACATTTTGCGCAACACAAACATCACCATCATCATGCATCGCGCAAGACGTATAGAAGCCATTAATTCTATTGTCACAAACGCAGAAAGCTGGAAACGATCAATAACTAGTACTTGTTACAGCACTCACTAGTTTTCGATACCCTTGCTCGGATTTAAATATCAAGATGTACAGGGTTTTATTAATTATATTGTTATGAATTATATTATTTATTATTTACTTATCTATTTTTTCTTTTAAATCTTTAATATCTGACAATATCTGTGGGCCGACTGCTGGGCGTTTTCTCTACTGTGCAGATTTTGTAGTGAAATTTTACTTCCACTGGTATGAAGCAGTGAGACATGAGACGGAGCAGTAAAGTGAGAGTGTTTCAAACTGAAAAACTGTAAATACTCACTGATTACCGTTGAAATGCTCGTTTTACCGATAACTTTGAGAAAGTACAGGTGTCAATGAATAATCCTGTTTCATTGGACAATTAATTATAACACGTGGTTGTTTTTGCGCGAGAATAATAAAATTTGGAAAATTCCACGTATGATCGTGAGCAAAAGAATTGTTCATGATTTTGCCCGTAATTATTTGTAAATTCCCCATCTCTTGTCTAATAGGAGGGCTCGTCAGAAAAATTACGGACAACCTTTCTATCCATAACGTTTTCTCACTCGAAAGAATACATACTCACAGTTATCGTATAATATATATTTAAAATAAATGCGAGAGATAAACATAATCGGCGGTAAACGAGAGCATTGATAATATACTGTTAGTGTTGTAGATTAACGACGTGACTGTCGCGAATTTTTTAGACAATCAAAAGTTGTTTGCACTAAATTTGCAACGCGAATTCATTCCTCCGTCATTCCGTCGCACGTTATTTGTTCATGCACTAATTACGAGTTATTAACTACTTCAATGATCGATCGAATCCTGGTTTATATCTTTATAGTATTGTATTTATTGATAATCCGTCAGTAGGCGTTTTACGGGATCGATATCGGGACAAACCGGACTTCGGTCCGGCCAAAGGAAACTTGCCAGTCGGCTTTCATGGTTCACCAGACGCGTAATACAGTTTGTCCTCGGAGTAGCAATCCACCAGACGTCCTCCAGCGATATGACGTTCCGCCACAATCGCTACTTGCTTTCTCAACTACTCTAACGTGTGTCCGTCTCTGTTTCTACAGCATCATTCATTTAGTGTTTATATTCACCGCACAAAACAATAATCAAATTGAACGAACTGGTCGCGTTAAACTTTGTAGATTAAATCAAATGCGAGAGTTAACGGTCGAAGTAAATAAATGTGTTTACTAGAGATTTAAATTAGCTACTGATGATGTGCACCTGCAAGAATTTCTTGTATGTTTTAGGCAATGCAAAAGGGACGATTAATGGAGTCGGATTACTGGACATCGGTAGTTATAAAAAGAAGAAAGCTTATCACATAAACAAGTAAGCTTTATCTATTGCTTTTATCAGTCACGAAGATATATTTTGTAAATACTCTTTATTGTATAGCAGCATAATTAACTTGGATTATATAATGTTATCTTATCGGCGTGTTCGTTAATTCAAGAGACGATAAGTGTAATAATGTTTATTGTATAATGTATGTTTGCTATTACTATGACAAATTACTACCAACAACTGTGCCTGTAACGATAATTTATATCTTGAATGCGGAATCTGAGACATATCGCGCTCTTCAAAGTGACATACCCGGAGTTTCTATTAGATGCTGTAAATCCTACTAGTAACAAAGACAAGTCGGTAGATTTGCGATATTTTTTCAGATAGTCCAATATTCGTAGGACACATGAGATCTCTCTCTGCATATGATATCGATTCAAATCTGCGTTTCTTTAGAAATTGAATAATTATTCTCTACGTAGCTATCGGCAACTTTATCTATTATTTATTATTTAAGTTGTTGTGACCGAGCATGAAGCTCGATTGATACTGAAGCGGTGAGGTGGAGAAGAAACGAGTACATAATAATTGCGAAAAGAGGTCAAAGAGCAGACACCTTCTCAGTAAAGCGAGTGAAGAAAGATAATTTATAGTTCGTTTCTTCACACAGAACACGTCAGCACGTGCAGTGATCGAGTTAATCGTTTCAGCCGCTCCTCGTCAGTTGAATCGTTAGCTCCACGGTCGTGCATACATGGTAGAATCTCAGTTCCAGAAGATAGCCATGTCAAAAGGTATGACATTCTCCATATATCTCGCTGTTTTCATAGAACTTTGTTACTTCGAGACAAAAGTAACTGTTTACAGTTACTGTTTACAAAAGATTTTAGCTAGTTTTTCTATCATAGTAATTATTTCTTTCATTAATCTTGGAAATTTACGCCACAATTTTCCAACGTATATGTATAATTTCCTTTCTCTACTCCAATTCCTCTGACTCCCAAGAATATCTTTGTCTAGCGGACATTTTTCAAATCGCTGATCGGCGGTCGAAAACGAATGACTTCATCGCTAATATTCAGATATGACGACTTTGCATGATACAATAATTAACATTGAATTTATACTAATTTATGTTAACGGTTGCTGAGTGTAAGTCAAATATTAAATATTGAACACTTACACACGCGACGTACTCTGGCAGAGGATTCTTGTTTAGGTCACGTATCGATTAATGTATCGTGTTGCCGATGTGCATCTCGTAAAATTGATCGTCATCATCTCACTTGTTTATCGGGTCGTTTTGTTTGCGCGGTCACGGGGACACTTGATAGCGACAATAAAGTGACACGTCAGTCACGTTCGCGTGCGACGGTAGAATGGTCGTGCGCTCATGGAAAATCAACGGCTGCTGCCTGCTACCACCTTCCTGACCCCGAAGACTACACGACTACGCTATAAGAACGGATATCGGCGTGGTAACGGCAGCATTTTCGTCCGTTTTTCGGTGCCGTTCGGGTCGTCTTCGGAGCCGGGCCGTTGTTAATTGAGTTTCGTGTCACATGTGAATTCGTTTCGAGTTGACTTGCGAAGTGCATCGCATCTAATCGATAGTATATCATCATCATGGCACTGACTAATAGTGAGTATTAAATTATTCTCTTAACTGTGGGTGCGATCATGTGACTGTGCAATTTTGGTACGTGTCTGCCCGATACGCTAGAGAGAAAGAGAGAGAGAGAAAGAAAGAAAGAGATAGAGAGAGATAGAATAAGGAAGGGAGAAAGAAAAAGAGAGCGATTTGAGTGCGCGCGCGAGAAAATTATACGCTTCATACGACTACAGGAAGAATAAGAAGAAGACAACTACACGGATTATTACGCGTGACGCGCTATAGTTTCTTCTCGGCAATATAGTTTATTATGATATATAGTTTGATATGATGAACGAAATAATATCACAAAATCGATCAAGTGTGATCGTTGGGATCGAACTCGAGTCGATTTATCTGTTACGAAATTCTGAACGAGAGGTTAAACAAGTCGTTATTTTTACGAGTCAATTTTCTATATCCAAGCGTGCGTGTCGCAGCACGCGCAAAAAATACTTAAATATATATATATACTTTTTTTACCTCAACTGGATACATAATGGCTAAGTGTGTTTCTCCTTTTATATATATATATATATATATATATATATATATACACATAAAAACTCTTCGAAATCATTTCGTCACCACACTACGTGCCGGAATGCGACGATGCCCAGACGAAAATGAAGTGGTTAAGTAACTTTCTGGGAGTTTCTGGAATTATGGCTCACTTGGACTCCTCCTAAACGATTCAATCGGTTATGGCTCATAATCAGCTTCTAGCAAACTAACGACTGTTTGATTTTCGACTGAGTATCGTCCGTTAACTCTACGGTATAAACATAAAGCTCCGGCGGACATTAAAACAGTATTTTTCGTGGTCGAGAAAATTGATCATGCTTTGTGCGATAGTAGTAGTACCGGCTATTCGGATTAAACAAACATTATTCGTGTTAAACGATTAAAAATAATGTCTGAGGAATTAAAATCGACTTTCGTTACCTGAAATGTTTCAATTTTGAATTGTAATAATTTTTTGTGTTTATAAATCCGTGTTTGCGCCGTGATGCGTGTCAAACGACTGCAGTTATGTACGTGATAGAAAAAATTGCCAAAAATGCTTCTTCGTAATTTTAACGTTTCGTCGGCTTGACGATAATGCTGTGTTTTGTTTTTCTACACATGGTTAATAACAGCAGTCAATATTTTTTTGTTCGTGCAACACATTATTCGTAGAATACATATTATTCGTAGAATACACATTATTCGTAGAATACATTATACTAATGCATCATCATCAGTATAAGATTCTTATAATGAGACATATGAAATAATATCCTTGGGTTTTTTATTCTTGGGTGTTTTATATTGTGATACAAATTTCTTATAGTAATGACGATCGTAACTATGCATACGACGAGAAGACAGGTGTAATAATGCTTCCTAACCTGCTTGTAATAAGAAGGCACGCCGTATAAATAGTTCTTGCGCGGAATCCTTGAACCATGGAGTACTGCTATTCGTGATCTGTTTAACGCAGTCGAGTGTTCCGCTACGAATGAATTACTGGAGCGATATAATTCCGCGTTGCGAACCGTTAACGACAACTATATCATAAACCGCGCTTCCCACAGCTCGCTATTTTCTTGAGAGCACTCTGTTTAGCCTCTCTAACACGCGCGGGTTCTTTGCCCTGGTAAACCCGATCGTTTCTCGATTGCCTTTTCCTTTGGATTTCATCTGCGGCGAATTATTTCAACGGATAGCGAAAATCTCTTTATTCGATTCGAGGCGCCCAATTGAAAATAAAACGGCTGCTAATTTGCTAGAAGCTGATTATGGCCCGTTTAGGAAAAGTTCGAGTGGGTCATAACAGCTTCCTAACAAGTTACGCGACCACTTCACTTTAAATTAGGCGCCTCTGCCATTATCTGCGTTGCACGTGTCACATGTGCCGCGGATCTTACTCTGCATCAGATTTGATTATAGATAAAAAAGTAAGAAAATAAAGTAGTGCAAGTCATAAGAGCAATAAATTAGACATTACATGTTTAAATTAGACATTACGTGCAACTAATTGAAAAAAAGACATCTCTGTAAAATAAAGCGAAATTCAAACTTTGTGGTCTTTCTTAGTAAGAAACTTGTTTTGTGTATTTTATTGTATCTTATCTCGCATATCTTTATACATTTTAGATAAGGGGAATTAGCATATTCGCCCAATGAATTAACTTAAAAATTTAATATATCTTCCCCTTATATTCAAATCTTTATAAGATTGAATAAAGAGAATATTAAAATCTGCTTTCAATCAATGTCTAAAAACGACTTTTTCAAAATGTTGAAAGTATCGTATTAATTCCCAAATAACATTCTTGGAATTCAAATCGACAAACTTCCGTTTTGCCACTCATAAAAAATGCGTCGAAAAAAAGAGAACCTTTCTTGTTTCTCTCACTGTATATATCGAATATATGTATATATATATATATATATATATATATATATATATATATAT